TGGTGGACACTAGAGAGAATGCAGCTTTAACACATGAAGCATTGGCTTCACCTTTCACGACTGGATGTTGCCGCCTGGTAAATTTTCATATTTAGAGGATTTTGAGACGGGGAACATCAATACTTCCCCATTACTGTAGCTAAGAACAGCGTCATGAGCCGCTAGCATAGCTGTAGACTCTTTGTCTCGTATATTTGTTTGCGGCATATAAACTGGACTATTCTGTGGTGTTAGTTATCTGTTATCTGTTTTGGAAGTAAAGCACATGGCACATCCTTGTTGCTGGTCCACCACAGATAGTGTTTTCAGCGATTTACTACAGTTCTTTGAGTTTGCATTTTTCAGGAAGATTACTTGTTTTTTCCGTCAAATAATTTTTCCTCCATTAAATACGTTTCTAAATTACCAGGTAATTGTAGTCCACAGTAGGTCTAGACCCTAGAATGTGCTCCAGTCTGTTTACCGTCTAGAACTTCATCCGCCGTTTGGTCCAGTAAATGAGAGTCCTGTTGGGCACAGATGAGGAGGGGCCAAACCAACAATAGTGGGTCATCTCTGCCCCGAGAGCAGCCAGGAGACCCGAGAGAGGGACGACAGGGGGGACAGACACAATTCAGCAGCTCATCAGATGGACAACTTCTGTATCTGAGCTTTTTAAACAAAAGAGACGAAGAAATCATCCCACAGGAGGCCTTGATCTTCGGCACAGTCAGCAGGGACGGGAAGGTATGTTACCTTAAAATCATAAAACTGTCTTAATCTTCTCTTATTGAAAGTTTTCGTTTTTTGCATCAAACTATTAGAGGCAGGTCTGGTTACAGTTTTTGTCACATTAGAAAAAGCAAATTGTTGGTTGAAAACGCTGCTGACTTTTTAATGTTTCCAGCTAATGCCTTTTAAAATGAGAACTCTGTACAATGATCTCAATTATGCACACAAAATAAATACATTTCATATCAGCCTATCATGACGTAACAACACAACAACTCAACGCAACGTAACAACTCAACGTAACAACTCAACGTAACGTAAGAACATAACTAGGCTAAATACATAACAACTGCCCTAAGCGGACTTTCTTAGGTAACATTGCGTAAGAAGCGTAAAGTCAACATTTACTTTTGGTTTCACACGGGACACGATTAGCGGTCTCCTGGGTGAAAGTCCTGTGTTTGTTTGACCCCTCCCACTCAAGCTCAGTGGACTTTCTTGCTCGTTATACTTGTCTTTATCACTTACTGTATGTTTTATTAATGGTGGCTTGATATACAATGTTACCTTTTCTGCGTTCTGCCCATTGTCCTACATCCTCTTCCTTCGGGTTGATTTCAGCATGTAGATATATCCAAATCTTGACACACCTGCGGTGACTAGTTATGGTTGCCAAGCTATCTGATATCTAAAAAAAGATGCCTGTCAGAAAAGGTTAAATTAACTGCTGAGCACCAAACTATGATTCAAAAAGAGCAAAACTCAAACTCTCACGAGAAGAATAAAAGAATAAAAGAAATTAAAAAAAACAGATGGATGGACCGATGGGCTTAATGACTAATCTGTAAAATGTAAAACGCAGCTTGTCGTTATTGCAGCAGTGAGGTGTTTTGGGCGCTGGTGGTAATAAAACCATAAAATCACATCTGGAAACTGCAGCAGAGAGACCGCGGTCTGAAAACCACACGTGAACCATAATCAAGACTCCACCGAAACCTGGAAATGAACCAGATGTAATCAGTGTGCGTGACAGTTACAACGGCTTCAGATAAACTAGTTTGTTCGACATGTCGACGAGCCAACGAGCACTTTGTTTGAAGCAGACTGAAGTCCAAAGTTTAGTTGCAATAATGAATTTTTTTGTATTTGTGGATGTATGTGAGTGACACGACCTCTCATTACGAATAACAGACAGCTGCAATATGAAAGTGTGAATACAATCCTGATAATTTAGCTATTCTTGAAGTAATGGTGCTAAACATGGTTTGTTTGTCCTGAGGGTGAATGTGGCCTATATTTATCTCTTTCAGTTGGATATGCAAATATATTTGTGTCTCAATTCTGAGCATGTGAAGGGATATTTTTAACACAGAAAAATATATCTTTTGTATGCACATAAGTTATATTTTGTCGAGAAATTATTCCACAAAGAATACTTTAATTAAAAATATATTTTTTCCTTCGTAAATATATTTTTTGTGTTTGCGTTTTTTATTTTGCATCATCCACATTAGCGCACAATGTCAACACTCATAAATAAGACCCCTGCCTTCCTCAGGTTCTCAGCTAGTGTTTATATTCTGGACTACATGTCTTCAAGGATCCATCACGACCCTGTAGTCCTGTTGTACTGCTGCAGGTCTCCGGTTTGTGTGTCTAATCCAAGCAGTCTCTCTATCAACTCCGATGACATAGGATCATTACAGGAGAAAAATATTATTTCCACCGCTAATGCTCTTTAATTGGTGGAACATAATGTTGCTGTTCTCACTGTTTGGGTCTGTTCAGCTCCATCTCAGTTTGAATAAGTTCTGATTATTTGTTAATGGATCAGGTCAATGAAGACCTCCAGTCTGGAGAATATATCTTTAATCTGGCTTTAATGCACAGCCATCTCTTTAACACACACACACAATTGTCTTGTAGACACATTTGCAACCCCACACATACATAATGAAAAAATGTACATGTTGGGAGTCGAATCAGCAGTCTGAGTCAGACTTTCTGTGGTTTTAAAGCCCCTTAACACACACATACACACACACATACACACACACACACACACACATACTATGATGTGTGGTGTTGCTGAATAACTCTGTTTCTGGTTGTTAGTCGTTAACGCTGGATCATTAAATGCTAATTCAAGGCTGGCTTCATATTTTCCAGACTACACTGTACAAACTGGTCCTGAATCAAACACACTCGCTCAGATCCATCCAGACCAGCCCGAGACCCCCGAATACAACATGTCCACATCTGCACACACCGCTGCCAACACGTAGCAGACAATCCAGCTAACACAAGCCAGCTAGCTCTGAGAGGGGGTTTGCCCTCTTCAGTATGAATGAAAATGAAATAAAATGCTAAGAGGGAGTAAACAGCCCAGAGTAGAGAAAATAGAAAGAAACCCAGAAAGCTACTCTGCGTGACTTGCTAGCTGGCCAGCTGGGGCCATGTCGTTATTCCAAAGCCCCAAGCGTCTGAAAAATGTCCCATTCGACCAAGAAGACCTTTTTCCGACAGCCTGTTATTCAACATTTTTCCTAAAGCCTGTTAATACAAAAATACTAAATGTTCATGCAACAGAAGCACATGGTTAATTATTATGCAGAATGACCCTTCCCAGATGCTTTATTCTTTTCATACTATGGCGAAGGAATGACCCGCCCTGATCCAGTGCCTTTAGTTGGCTTACCCTTAATATCTTACCCTGAACTTCACCAATTCCACTCCTCATGCCTAAACCCAACCAACCAACGAAGGTGGTGGGTCACGCCTTTCGCCAGTAGGAAAACAAATCTGGAAGGTCAGATGATGTCATTCTGCTTAATCATTAGCGTTGTGCTTGTGTGTGTTGGTAATGGGCCTTTGGAACATTAGTTTGTTTTGGGGATAAGGGGCCGTCGGACAAATGGGTCATCTTTCGGACAATAGGATTTTTTAGAATAAAGGACCGGCAGATCCCGTTAGCTCACCCATTAGGCTTGCTATGTGTCAGGTACCTTGAATGTGAACAGAACAATTAGTTTACATAATTTATTAAAAGAATGTTTGTTATGAAGGTTAAATAGCCTACAGACACAAACATCGGCCTCCTGTGTGAAGGATCCATCTGGTCTGACCTCAGTTAGGGTTTCTTCCTTTCTTCTACCCCTTAAAGGGTGTTTTTTTTTGGGGGGGGGGGGGGTTCCAGTACCGATCTGAGGATTCTGGGAATAAAACTCTTTTCTGTTGAATCCGGGAAGGATCCTAATTGACTTTCCATTCCATGCATTGTTCCTGTGGTGCCGGCACATAATTGGAAGACATTACATGCCACCACCGTGTAAAGAAGCTGAGGCCCTTTCATGTGTTCTTTGGGCTGCTCTGTGAGGCTGTGCTGTGCTTTAAGCTAAATGCTAAAGTCATGCTAACATGCTTGCCATAACAACGCTAACAGGGGGATGTTTAGCAGGTATAATGTTCAGCACGGTCACCATTCCAGTTAATTGTGTGAGCATGCCAACATGAGCTTATCTTCGCTAAAGTACATCTGAGGCTGATGGGAATGTCATTATTGCTGCAGGCAATATGATCATAAACCAAAGATTTGAACAAATTAAAAATGTTGAAAAGTTCAGACCATTGCTGTCTGAACTAAATATCCTGGCAATCCATCCAGTACTGGCTGACTGCCATCGCTATCACCGGAGCCATGCCAGTAGCGTGGTTAACATGAGGGTTGGATCCCACTGACAGTTTACCCCCTTGTCCTCATCTGGATCCCATTAGTTGAGTTCAGCTGCTTTTTTGCCGTTTCGATGTGTCCGTCTGAGACAAAACATCAAACTGGATCTCCTGTGTCAGTTTGGACTGAGCATTTGGGGGGTCTTTCTTGTGGTCTGGAGCTGCCGTGTTTCCAGGCCTTTTGGTGGTTTGGAGGACAGCCTGAGTGGCTTCACCGCACTCTGTTTGTCTTGGATCGGCATCATCAGAAAACCCATCCAGCCTGGAGGATTACGAAACTGGTTTGCGAGACACACAGCATGTAGAAATGCTTTCCCAAGCTCAGCCGGAACATGAGGAAACTTTCTGATCAATTGCAGCCTTCTTAAAATGTTTTGGAAGGAAACAGTTTGACAATTTATTTGTGACTGTAACTCTCCGTCTTCTCCTCCATCTCTGAGCTCACTGATCCGCATCCAAGATTAAAGCGATGATAAAGTTCTCATGCCATTAAACTCAGCAGAGAACATCAGCTCCAGGCCAGCGCCTCCTCAGATGAATGAAAAGTTGAAATGATGGGAGAAGCCTCAGCCCACCGGTGGTTTCCTGCTCTGCTGCTCTGGTTACAAAGAGAATGATGGGAGATTTTCCATGGCGTCCTTGGAGGCAACCTCAGTGGCCATGTTTCCCAAGAGTGGGGTCACGATGTCCCCCCACCCTCCAACCCGACTTTGGAAAAACTGAAATATGAATTACTTGCATATGAGGGGGCGCCATCAGCAATTAGATGGGACTCTTATGTAAGGAGCTGGAGGGAGCAGTTTCAGAGGAATGACAGAGAAGAAAATAAAAAGCAGAGCCACAAAGAGACGAACCATGATTTCTGAATGTGTAAACAGCATGGGCTCTTAAGCTTTGTAGTTGATAAAAGTACAATTAATTAAGAAATAGCTGCTTGATTCTGAAACTATTCAAAGATACAGATGAAGAATGTGTATCTTTCAAATGTTTATAAACCTTATATCGACATTTTAACTTGGCCCTAAATACAGCAATTGATTTTTTTTTCGGTTTGAAGAACTGCTGCAAACGTTGGGGTAATTGCGAACTGACTGCAGTGGTTAGGAGCAGTTAACATTTTCTCATGACAATTTAAGACATATGTCAATTTAAAAGTTAGGTATTAACAACCTGTAAAGACATCTACGTTTGTCAACATTTTCATGGCTGTATTTCTGTCTTTTTCGATATCGGAAAATATCGTCCACAGTCTGAATTTCTCCCAGAAAAATGTATCAGCTGCAGTACATAAGCTCCTCATTAAAGCAGCATTATATATCTCTGATGTTTTTAACGAATTAAATCAGTAAGAATCTATGTCAGTCCTGCAGAAGGACCATCTGACTGTAGGGAAAGCGTCCCTTAGTTACTGGTCAATGTGTGTTAAGAGGGGAAAACTTACCCTGATTGCTTTCCCGATCCACACAGTCTCTGCTGCTTTAGGATTTGAACCAGCATCCTTTTCATCCCAGTCCTGCTCCCTCTGAGAACAGGGGAGCTTTTGTGTTTTGTTGTGTGGTGGAATTTGGAGCATTCATTTCACTGATCATCACTCATGTGTCCTCTCACAGGCCTGGCTGATTATCTCTGCTCACTGAAGCTCAAAATGTGTTTATTGTCTCTCCAAACATGTCGATTCTCTCCTTTTCCGTAGGACCACTAATTGCTCCATGAGGAATCAGGGGCCATGGCGCTGATGGGGGTCCGTCTCCTGGCACTGGCCTTGTGGGTTGGTGTCGGAGAAAAGCTCCAAGTTCTGGGTGATCAGATGAAGCCGGCCCGGGCGCCTCTGATCCCTCACCGGCCTTTTGTTGTAGTGTGGAACGCTCCGACCGAGTCCTGCCGCCTTCGATTCAAGGTGGACTTGGACCTCAGCGTTTTCGACATCGTAGCGAACCTCAACGAAACCCTAAGCGGACCAAACGTCACCATATTCTACCACAGCCACTTGGGATACTACCCGTACTACTCCAACTCCGGGGTGCCCATCAACGGTGGACTGCCACAGAACCAGAGCATCTCCAAACACCTGAGCAAGGCCCGGGCAGACATCGACAAGCTAATCCCCCACAAGGACTTCAGAGGCCTGGGCGTCATCGACTGGGAGAACTGGAGGCCTCAGTGGGTGCGAAACTGGGGTGCCAAGGACATCTACCGCAATAAGTCCATGGAACAGATTCGGAAACTTCACCCGAACTGGCCGGAGAGCAAAGTGGAGAAGGTAGCGAAGGAAGGTTTCGAGAGGGCTGGGCGGACCTTCATGAACCTGACCTTGGCCCTGGCCGAAGGCCGCAGGCCGGACGGGCTGTGGGGGTTTTACCTGTTCCCAGACTGCTACAACTACGGGTACAAGCAGCACCCGCAACGGTACACAGGCGAATGCCCCAACGTTGAGCATGTGCGCAACGACCATCTGATGTGGCTTTGGAAGGAGAGCACAGCCCTCTTCCCGTCCATCTACCTGGACTACGAGCTCAAGTCCTCCTCCAACACTGTCAAGTTCGTCCACTACCGAGTCAAGGAAGCCATAAGGATCGCGTCCATCGCCCGCACAGACTCCACACTGCCAGTGTATGTCTACTCCAGACCTTTCTACGCCTACACCTTTGTGGTTCTTTCCAAGGTGAGTTTTTCAGTACTTCTTCAGTAGTTCTTTTTTTTTAAATAAGCAGAAAATTTGCTGAGTCAACTGGCAGGAGAAAAACAAATACTGCAATTCTTTGTGATTTAACGTTTAACTTGATCTTTCTGTCATGATGGTTGCTTGTTGTTTGTGTAAATATTGTAATTAAACAGTTTTAAGCCGTTCCCTTTACAGCAACGTCAGTGTAGTTGAACAAATACCTTAAAGATGCCTTCCCATAGCACTCAAGGTGTTCGTAGCCCCGAGAGCTTTAGTAGATGATGAAAAAGTGGAAGAGAAGGACTGAAGCTTTTGGATTGTTGCATGTGCCATAAAGGGTCAATTATAACCAGACAGTTATAGTTAGATCTGTATGTTTACTGGGATACAAAGGCCCCTGTGATTCTTTTTTTTTCTTCTTTTTTTTTTAGAGCGATCTGGTTCACACCATTGGGGAGAGCGCCGTCTTGGGAGCGTCAGGTGTCGTCCTCTGGGGATCATCAGAGTACGCACGATCACAGGTAATGTTACACTATAGCAAAAATAAATAAATAGTTGAAAGTGTCGAGTTAGAGCTGATAAAAGTGGTGAAAACTTGGCGTTTATATAAACTACAGAGGTTTTAGACTATGTTTCAATACTAAATTCAAAAGCGAAATCTTTAAATTCAGATCAAAGTAACAGCCCTTAACCGAATGCATTATATAGCATTACCACTATATTATAGAATACATTACATAAAACAAGCCACAAAGCAGTCGTGAACAATAAATGTGAATGACAGAAACTCCATGCAGTCACTGTGCATAAACAAAGCCAACCGAATGTTTCTAAAAATAGTGATTTTGGGTTTTTTTCTGACCAAACTCCGAAAGTCAAAATCTGAGAAAAGCATCTGATTTATGTGAGAAAGTGGTCTGGATTTCTGTTGGAGTCTGTGGATTGTTTTGAATCCTGTTTACAGCAGACAGGGCTGTAAATCTAGAAGAAGGAAAATCTGTAATGTAATTATCACTGAAGAGAAAGATTCAAACATACTATGACACAACTCAAACACTGGAAATGAGCTCATTCTCATTGGAGTTGAACATTTCCATGGTCGGTCATCAGACTCTTGAAACCTTTTACATATCAGGCTGGTCTCATCCAGCATTGGTAGCTATACCTTCAAAAAAATAACGCGCCGTAATTCGTAGATATCCCACGAAATAAGTTTGTCTGTATTGCACAGAAAAATGCACGAGGAAGTCTAAAGACCATGAAGGCCTACACAGTGGAGTGGAATGGGTCCAACATACATCGATCTTTCAGCCAGGAGATCGCTGTTCCTTCCACATGTGAAACGAGAA